AAGAGTTTGAAGTTTGGGAAACCACATTTGATATGTTAAATAGCATGACTTCTAAATGCAGAATGTTTAATATATGTATTTTATGTGAGGGTGCATACATTTTGCAAATATATATAACCCCAGCAACTTTCATACTGTTTTGGAATTAAAACCAAACAAAATAATGTCCTCCAGGCACAGCCCCCAAAACTGGAGTTTTAAGTTTTGTCATCAACTTGTATTCAGATTCCTGAGAAAACAAGTGGTCAAACAATTCTGAATTCTGAAAGGTGTTATTGATTTTTCTAACAGCTCATGCAGTCAAATCTGCAACTCACTGCAGCTGCCTTACTCTTTTGGGATGTATGAATGAGTAAATTGAAAATTATCATGGATGAGATGAAAATCCACCCATTTATGGTGTTTGGCAGCCATTCTTATGGAATATGAGACTCCTGTAGAGTAAGGTTAATGTCAACAAGTTACTAGTACATTTATTTTTCATTGTTTCTATGAGAGAACAAGGAAATGTGGTAATGTGATTTTCTTATCAGGTAATAGATTTTTTATGTATTTAATATTTTCTGTTTCTCCCACTCTATAATTTTTGTATAACTTGACTAGTGTAATTCTGCAATAGTTCTGTATTTAAGAGTGTTTTCTTACAGATGATATTCTTGGTGGCACATTTATCTTGACAAAAATCCAGTTTACTATTCTGATGCCTCCAGGAATGATGACACTTTTTCTTAAACTGGTATGCCAAAATGTTTTTTAAGCACGTGATGCCATCTGCTAAGCTGAAAAGGTTACACTTCCTTACTACTGACTAAATATCACTTAGAGATAAATAAAGGACAATCTGGCTGATTTAAAAGAAAGAAGTTTGAAATGATTTCCATTAAATAGTATCTTTTAATGTGTCTTGTCAGTCTCCATTTGAGTGTTTGTTTTTGTGGTAAGAGAAGTTAGTAGTTTAGCTTAAACCTAAACTCAGTGACAGTAAACCTAAACCCAGATAGACACACTGACAAAAACATGTCTTAAGTTCAGCCTTCTAGTAAAGCACTAGAATAGTAAGTGAATCTCCCAGGAATGATGCTCATTCTTCTCAACCACCTTCCACAATGTTTGGAATAAAAGAGGATAACAGTCACTCTACCTTTTGGAGTTCTTTGACTCACTAAGCTCCTCCTTGATTCACCAAATCCATAAATATATACATACAGGCATAATCTACATAACTGGATATAATAGATACAATTAGATAAAATATATTGTACATACTAAGTTCAGAATACCTGCACCCCAGCTACAGTTATATTTTCTCTATCTGCATGAGTTAAGACAAAATTTCCAGCTGTTTTGACACAGAATTTTTCAGAAATTAAGTTTATGGCCATAAATCACCTCTGATTACTTTAACAGGGTCATTTTGAATGTGAAGATGTCTTTGTAGGTTCATAAATTTTCTTGATAATTTTGTGCCTGTGGCTTGTATATCGTAATTCTGACAATTCATGCAGATAGCATTATGTCATAAATTACCACATTTAGTTTGGCATGAATCTCAGGTACTCAAAAACACTGTCTACATTATTTAAATATGTAATATATATGAAATACAGGATTCAATATCCAAAATAAAGGAATACTTAGAAAAAACTAACACTTAGATGAAGAATGAGGACTGGATTTTTCCTGATGATTTGGGATGCAATTCTAATTGAAAGAAAAAAAAATCCATGATACCCTACACTTTGAAGCATTCTTGAAAGCCCAGTCTAAAAAAAATTCCCACATCCAGCATTACATTACAATACCTCATGCAAGATTCCTAATGACACAGAAGTGTCTCACTTAATACTCAGCTCATATAATGAGTGTGAAGAAAAAAACAAGTAAAGAGTAACTTTTACTTTAAAATTAGCCTAGATGGAGAAATCTGCCTGACAAAATCTATAGTGTTTAAGATAAAATCTATAAAATGTGAACTATTAGTATTTTGTTGAAAAACCATTAGGCTTGATTATAAACCAGATGATATGAAAATATTACGAACATACCCCACTGCTATTGAACACAATTAGTTTTCAGGCTTTTAAACTTGCACACACTTATATTTTTACATCTGAGTGGCTCCACTGAAATCAATCATATATATCAAATAAAATTAAACTAATTTATACAGATTATACGCCAAATCAAATCGCGTTAGATTAAACACATAGTGCCCAGAAAATAAAAAACCTCCTCTAACAAAACTAGCCCATTCGATACAAAGTGACTGCATATTTTTTTTTTATAGAATAGGCTTCAGCTTAATCATTTCAACCTTTAATTACTGCATCAGATAATGACTATTTTGAACATATGCTTCTCCGCTCTGCTAGAAGACATGAATGAAAGAGAAACAAGTTCATATGCATTCTACTGTGTGTGCATGTTGGGGGAGGGAGCAGCAGGCTAAAGAGCAAAGGGAACCAAGTGGCAACAATTGGAGGAAATGGTGTCTGTAACAGCTGCTCCTTTCAGATTCCCCTAGAAGGAGACTGCCTGAGGTGGACCACAGCACAAAAGGATAAAGAAGATGAAAACTGATGCAAAGCAGGGAAATAACTGCTGAGACCCCTGAGCCTACACCCGAATAGTCCCAAGCTGTGTGGCAAGACCTCTTTAGCATGCTACAGAAGCTGGTGATGAACTACATATTACCATGAGGCAAACTGGCTCCAAGCAGTATTGTCTGCATGTTATGTGTAATGATAACCAGTGCTCCTCTGGGAACAGGATGCAATGATTTCATCTCCGTAAGCATCTGAGCTCCCCTTGGATACAGAGACCATTAAACTGAGAACAGAAGGGTAAATTTTAGGCAATGATTTCCAATTGGAGAGTGAGGACAACTTGTGCTCTACACTACTGTCAACCACTGATACTTTACTGCTGTCTGTGTTGATCGTAGGACAATAGGAAATAAAACTGTACCCCTTGTGCTAAGTCCCACAGCACACAGTGTATTTTCTGAATGACAGCACTTGATAGGTTTCTTATGTAATATTATTAGAAATGCCATTATATTAGGAAATGCCACTCTATTCATGACACAGAAAAGTACTGATATTTTCATTACTGTTAAAATAACATTTTATACTCCTAACATAGTGTAAAATTTATTTTGTACTACAGAGACCTTCTTGCCCTTTTAACATAATTGCACATTGCTTTAACTGCCTTTAACGGGGACTAAAAACAATAGGCATAACCTATTATTTATATACTTTAAATTAATAGTAGTAAGTAGTATATTACAAAATTCAAGGTTTCAGAAGCTCCCTTAAAAAAAATACCTGCATGCAACAAAAAGAAATAGAACTTCCAAATGATTGCTGTAACTTTTTGACAGGAGACATGGGGGAGCAATGAAACAAAAGGAGTAGCAATAAAATGTAGACACAATAGATCCTGAGGAAATAATGTCAGGACACCTAATAATTCTGACACTTTCCATGGTAGTTTGATCCTTGGTATATCCAGGAGACCATGCAGTCTTGTTCATTAATTAATTTCTCCTGTGATGGAGAGATCAAACATGTGTACAGGTTTCTCTATTTAGCAAATTTGCTTATTTTCACAATTCAAACAATGTAGTGTGACTCTCAGAAAATCAAAAGAAAAGTTGTTCAGACAAGAATGCCGACACACTTGTCAGTCAGAAAACAATGGCAGGTAAACTGCAGTACAAAAAACACGAGTCTGACCTATCATACTGCATTCCTGGGAGAGGTAAAATATTATATTCTTATTAGTGTTGCAACTATTAGATACAATTTTATAAAATTATATGTAGCTTTTAAATTTTGAAATACTTTCACATTGAGCTATAGACTTTACCAGATGTGAAAACAGGCTCCCACTTTCCAGAATCCAGTTGATTTATACAGAAGATAGGACTATCAGCATGGAAGATTTATGTATAAAGATAGTCAACAACTTTTAGAAAAATCGTATCACAAATGACAAAAAGCATGTAAAGGACATTTTGAGACAGAAACCTAGAACCCCTCCTACACTGCAGAAGCCAAGTAAGTAATATTAAATATATGCTGAATTCATTCTGTGACTTCTATTGCTCTATTTCTGAAAAAAAAAATAAACCATCACAACAAATACCCACAATGAATGACCTCTATAAATCATGTTCAGTAATTGAATACCGAGTCACTCTGCAGTTAAAGGAACAAACAGAAACAATAATTATCCAGCTGATTAATTATAATAATCAAGGACAAAATATTCAAACCAATTAGTTTTCCACAGAATATTTCTAAGAGGATCATGGAGGACTGTGACTTTTCTGATGACTGGCACAAACAAATCAAGTTGCTGTTTGTCTTTCCTCACACACTGAATCTGTGAGGAAGTAGAGAAACCCTCCTTTCAGACAAGAATTCCACATGTAGAACTCTCATTGTCTTAGAATTATTAAGGCTCAAGGGAAACAAGAGAACAGTAATTTGAACTCAAGTATTGACAAAAGGTATTGCATCATCATTACAGCTTTTCATACCAAAAGCAATTCATATTCTTCTAAATTCCTCATGTTCTGAAAAACTCAATATGTAAATTGATATATTTTTCATTGTTGCTCAGAAATATACTGTATCAAACTAATCTGAAAAAAAAAAAAAAGGTGTTTTTACAAAACTCTAGCTAAATAAAAACTGTTTTATATATGCATATATACAGGAAAAGGAAAGCTAGTCACATATAATCTGAATTGTCAGTTTATATTATTTCTACAGATCCAAGTATGGAAACTTGGACTCTATCAGTTCTGGAATTTATTGGAACCAGAAGTGCTTAGCCACATGGATCCCTGCCTACAGAACTTGATGCAGTTGTATAAAAGGTCTGTGAGCCAAGGCTCTCCAAGTTTTTTCCACTCCCCAAATGTCTAGGATGTCAAGGAGGCAGAGAAAGGCACTGAGAAAGCTAAAGCAACTTTAAAATAAACTTACTGATAATGCTGTCTGTTGTTCTCCAGAAAAATGATATGCCAAACTTAAGCAATATGCAGCTTCTCCTTCCATCTTTACATTACCTGCTAAAGAAAGGATTGAAGTTACCATTACCAATGTAATCTGAACTAAATGACATTAGTGTAGACAGTTCTTGTGGGTTCTTAAATAATACACAGATGTTAAAATACTGTAGCAAATTTTTCCTTCTCCTTACCCCTGCCATTTATCTCTTTCCAAAACCATGCAGTGGTAATTAAAGAGAGGCTGTGGACTTGAACAAAGTTCAACAAGAAGGTTCAGCAAAGTCAGAGAATGAAGTAAAATCAAATTAACAGGCTGTAATGTTCTCTCCAATTGACTACTAACTGTTTAATAGTCCCAGTGTCTTCACTTTAGGAATATACAATATACAAAATAAAAAGTAGCTGCAAATATGTAACAGACCCTAATGTATAATCACAAAAAATATGTTGATCAATAAATTTTGCTAATGTGAACCTTAGTAAAACACCAAGAGAGAACCATCAGTAGACCAGTTTCATCTCTCTTGTTCTCAGGGCTATTTTACAAGCTAATGTAGGCTAAAATAGCTAAAAAAATAGGCAAGTTATTCTTGCAAGCAGTAGTTATAGAAAATTCTGCACAGGCAGTTGCTAACTGAGGTACATCTGCTTTTCCATGCCAGGTTTTGTTTCACTGATACTGATCTAACAAACTACTTGCTGGTCTTTTTTAGCTATTTTAGCCTCAATAGAAAATCACTGAGGCTAAAATACTGAAATAAATATGCATTAATTATATAAGTTCTTACTATATCACACTATATTCAAAAATTTCCCTCCAGAACATTTAAAAAACTTGTAGATAAAATTATATCTTTCTTTTGCTCAATATCAATCTACTTCAACACACTGAATAGCAAAAAATAAACTTGAAGCATAACTGCACGTCAGGGAAATTTGTAAAATGCATAAATTAATACAGTTGCAATGAAAAGGGAGATTATCTGCTCACAATTGTCAGACTAATTCTTTCTGTCCAAACACACAGAAGCCTATATTTAGTTCTGGAACTCTCTGACTGATAGCAATTGCTGAGGGCATAGCAATTTTCTATCTATAGCACTTAATATGTTATTTAAAATTACTAAAAGACTGTAAATCAAAAACCTCATTTTTTCTCCCCAATATTCAATATCCCTTAAAAGGCTTAATAAGGCCAAAGGGTAGTTTTACAGAAGAATAATGTTCAAAGGTTCTAGGGATGTAAAAAACTTTCTTCCTCGCTCAGGAACAATTTGAGAGTCTGAAGTGGGTAATATCTAATCCTAATTCACAAAATACATAACCACAGATGATGGTCCAGAAGGACAGAATGGACATTATAGATGGCATCTTGTACCCATTTGGCTCTGGAATGCGAACTGGAGAACTCCTCAGAAAAAAGTTCTAAAATTTAAAGAGAAAAACAGCATAGTGATATTCAATACATGCCTTATGAACTATTGAAAGTGATTGATCTGAAGTAATGGCACTGGAACATCTGCCCGGTCAAAGTAAGTTGTGGAAGGCATCAGATCCATTTTGACAATCTCTTAATTTCCAGTAGTTTTCACTAGCAATAAGAAGCTGTTGATGGGAAATTTCATCAACAATCTTTCTAGCTACTAGAGTGATTATTAGCAGCAGCAGTTTTACTCCAGCTGTGATTTAAGCATGTATTATAGACAACAGCTATAGAAAAAGCTAAAAGCTTATACTTGATCAGATGCAGCTGAAAGAAATGGAGAAGTTATTGGCTACATGTATCCTTCTTCAGCTGCTTTATTGTATTGGCATTCTCAGTATTTGGGTACATTCTCCCAAGAGAAAAGTTCTAAACAGCCAACTAACAAAACAGATCTACTAAAGTGCACGTAACCCCAAAATAGGTTATTTAGTCATTTAACTAAAAGAAAAATTTAGCCAAATACAATCACAGAATCATAGAATCAGCTGGGTTGGAAAAGACCTCTGAGACCATCAAGTCCAACCCTTGATCCACTACGACCACGGTTACTAGACCATGGCACTAAGTGCCACATCCATTCCCAATCATACAGTTAACAAATTAAACATTCAGTGTGGAAAGAATTGAATTCTTGCCCCCTAAGTCCTGTTTGGCTTATTTCCCCAAAATTACCACAAAAAAGCATTTAGATTTCAAATGGTGTTTCAAAGTATTATTTTTCAGGAGATAAGGCAATAGAGAAATTTTGGTTCTTTAGCATTACTGAACTCAAAGACTATAGAATAAAACCCCCTGAATCTGAAATAATTTGCTAGCACTTTTTAAAATAATAAACAGCAAAATTCACACAGGATTAGACGCCCGAAAGCTTGTTCATTTTCTCCAAGAGTATCTGCAGGCCTAATAAAGGTATTTCTTTTTATTTCTTTGTTTCACTGAATACATTTTATACTTTTCTATGGAATGCTATGTCATACTATCTACCTGTATAGGCACATATTCATTTGTGGCAAAGTTAATTTTAAAATTTGGAAAATCTTTTAGATTTTTTGGGCCATTTTGGATATTTTAATTCTATCTATCCCAGCTATTACTCAAAGACTGGGAAAGAGATTAATGTGGGCATACATTATTAAATTAAAAAAATGTATCTAATGTATCTGGTTATAAATATTGAATTAATATTATCTATTAATTGTATGTGCAATTCATATGCAAAATATGCCCCTTAAGGAATACCATGAAAGGCTCTTGAATTGCTGTGCATGGAATAAGATTATTATTGGAGAACTGCTATCTTACTTCTGAGAAGCCCTCCAAGTAATCATCTAGGAAAATCATCCAGAAAAAGTAATTCTGTAGAAGTGGACCATTAACAGTATCTTTCGAGAAAAAAAGCATTATTAAGCTTCCCCCCAAAAAAAATCTGGAAAAATATGTATGTTTTCATAAAGTCACCTGGTAAGATTTGCTTTCTTTTTTCTATTCCTCTCATATGTAAGAAATGCTCCAGAGCACAGTATTTCCAGCTGATCAGCATCTCACATTACATGTAACATTCAAATGCTATTCTAATTCCCCCAATCCTAAACCTATCCACACATGGGTAAAGCTTCCAAGAGCCATTACCTAGAACAAGACAACTATCATGAGGAGTCAGCACAGATTTCAGACAGTGCTTCACCAACCTGATGGCTTTCTATGATAAGACAAAAGGCTTGGTGGAAGAAGGTAAAAAAGTGGATATTTTAATCTCAATTTTAACAAGGCTTCTGACACCATCTCCCATAACATCTTTATACAGGTGCTGATGAAGGATCACTTAGATAAACAGACAGGGAGGCAAACTGAAAGTAGGGGAGCTGCTGGCTTTCAGCAGGGTGTAAGCAGCAGCTCACACCAGGTCCAGTGGAAGGCCAGTCACTAGTGGTGTACTCAGGGATCAATACCAGCACTAATAATAATAATGTCTTAATTAATGACCCAGATTGGGGTGATCAAGTGCACCCTCAGCATGTTGCAGACAATACAAAACTGGGGAGGAAGGGTTGATCCAGAAGGCAGGTGACTGTGCTGCCACTCAGAGGGACTTGGGCTGTCTTATGAAGTTCAGGAAGGGGAAGTGCCCAGGCCTGCACCTGGGACAGGATGACCCCAGGGACCAGCTCAGGCTGTGAGCTGACTGAGTGGAAAAAACCTCAGCAGAGAAGGACAGCAAGTCCATGAGGCAGCAATGCCTGTTCATGGCAGAACCGACCAATGGGATTCCAGGCTGCATCAGGCAGAGCATTTCAAGCAGGTTATGGGGGGTAATCCTTTGCCACTATTCAGCATTGGTGTGCCCACCCCAGGAGTGCTGACATAGCAGAGTGAGTCCAGCAAAGTGTTGCAAAGATGACTAAGGGGCTGGGAGCATCTCTCCTATGAGGAGTGGCTGAGTGAACTGGAACTATTGGGATCACAGAAGAGGAGGCTCAGGGGTGACCTTATTAGTACATAAGTAAAGCAGAGGGAACCAGACTCTTCTCTGTGGTGTTCAGCGACAGGGCAAGAAGCAAAAGGCACAAGATGGAATTCTATCTGAACTCAACAAAAAACTTTGTAATTGTGAGGGTGTTTGAACAGTGGAAAGTGTTTCCCAGAGTTGTTATGGAGGCTCCACCTGTGGAAATACTGAAATCTTGACTAGATGTAGTCCTGGGCAGATTGCTCTAGCCAATCTGATGATTTCCAGAGGCCTCTCTTCCTATCTCCACTATTCTGTGATTCTCTAATTTGCTACTTTAGGTTTCAGAGTATTTATGTATATTAAGATAATCAGAAGAAGAAAACTTTTTTTGCAAGTACTTAATAACTACGTAGAGTGAAAAGGTTGTTTTCTGTCAGATAATATCACTCAAAAATTGCCAAATCAACAGTGACTAGCAATCAAAATCAGTGACCTAAGCTTCCATCAGTGACCTCACTTTCTGATTATGGGCTCACAGTTTTACGTTATTATTCCCACAAGATTGTCAGGTTTGTTTAAAGATAAAGCTTTGAAGAATCTAAAAGTTTCTTTGCTGTCAGCAAGAAGGCATTTCTGCCTTAGTGACATCTGCAAGTGTATTGATAGCATTTGTCTTTGAATTTCACAGGAAATAATCACCCAAACCCTTCACAATTTCTACTTTACTCTTGGGAAAATCATGACATGCACAGAGAATAAAGGAATGGGAAAGCATTATTTTCCACCTACCTTCTTTTGCCATCTTTAAAGCTTTTATTAGTGTTTTGATGGCCTCTTGGTGTTCTTTATTTTCTAGCATTTTGTCTGCTAGTAATGTATAAATTCTCCAGAGATGCTCACATGCCAGTAAATTGTAAGTATGGCCTGTCTCATCCTTCCATGATGATCCCTCTGCTAGCTGATAAAATGCTTCATAATGCTCAGCAGCTTCCATGACATGACCTGAAAAATGTCATTCATAATTAAAATCAGTTCAATCAACAAAAGTTTTAAAAGTCAGTAGACTATAATAATTTTATTATTAGAAAGTAAGTTTCAGCCAAAGATTTCACAGATTTCTCAAGAATCTTCAATATGTAACTCATAGATCACTAGAAAATACTGTCAAATCTCACAGTGGCCAGTAATGCTATAATTTAGGTTTATGGCACTTTAAATGATCTTTCCTTTGTAGATGCACAATGTTAGGAGGGTGTGATCCCAGGATTTTCTAGAAAGTAAATTTATTCTAAATTCCTGAATATAGCCTTTGTTGTTCTCATAAATTAAAATTACATCTACGCATAAATAATCACAATTGAAACCCTTCCTTAAGTTTCTTTTTTCATAATGAAAACCTATGCTGAAAGATTTCAAATGCGGAGGGTAAAGGTATCAAAACTGTGGGGAAAAAAATTATAATCGTTATTTAAATAAATTAATTTATGAAAAAAGAATTATTATGCAAAGTGATTTATTCAACAGTTATTACCAGGCCAGCTCTGGTGAGTATATCTAGTAGATTTACTGCAAGAGCATTAACCATTGATAAATTAATTATTGAGCCTGAAGTAATATACTTCAAGGTCTTCAATAAGTTACTCAAATATCTTTAAGGTAAAGCGAAGTTTGATGATAGAGTTCAATTCATTTTAACATGCGAGTGGTTTTCCTTCTACCTTCAATTTAGATTTATCTCTGTGCATACAATTCAATCGAGGAGATTTCTATGTTTTCTGGACAATGGACATTCAAAGCCCTTGGAAAGAACAGAAAAGCTTTTCCTCATACATAATGGGTACAGAAAAACTGCTGTGAAGCAGGTGAGACCATTTACATTCAAAAGAATTAAAACCCCCCACATTCTGGTCACAGTACCTTGTTTAAGAGAGAATATTCTATAGCAGGAAGAACTGGTGAATGTGACCCTGCCTTCATGAGTTTGTGTGTGTGATGGAGGAATCTTGTCCCATAGATCATCAACACTATCAAATGCTATTGATATTAAAAGCTGAAACAAACCATAAACTAAGCTCATTTAGATGTGATGGTAGCTTACACCTCCTCTGAAACATAATTTATAAGGAACTATTACTGTTTTGCAGATTTTTTTTTTACAGTGCTGCATTCAAACTGCAAAAAGAACCAGGAGGGAGAAAAGTTGTTTCCCAGCTGTAGGAAAGGAAGGGAGAAAAGCATGGAGAAGGATCTTCTTTAAGCATTCCTAGAGAAATTAAAGCTAGTTCCGAAGGCCTCTAGCTAACGTAGAGGCAGCAGAACAGCTATGACAGATTTCTCTTATTAACTCAATTTAGATTTGTCTTTTGCATATGTTACCCCTTTATAACCATGCTTTCAACTCTGCAATATAAAACATAACTCATCTTTATTAGAATTAAATTTATTTTCATATTAAGCTTCTCTGGTGATTAAAATGAGTTCAACTAAAACCGACAAGCAGAAGAAACTTCTCTTTCAATGTGGCAACGAATCAAGTGAGTTTCATAGACAAATAATTTTAAGGCTGTACAACCTGTGATTCGTGTAAGAGTCCCAGAGGACACAACAAGTGCTGAAGAGTGAAGTGCCAGGTGAAAGGCAGGGAAAACAGGAGATCTATACTTTCTTTCCAAAATATCATATACTTGACATCAGACTGAACCAATAGAAAGGCATAGGGAAATTATCACAACCAGTAGAAGCTGTTTAGGGACTCACTGACAGTACATGTAACAGGAAACAGAGATACGGACTTGCTAAAGCCACATGAAAACTCCTGTCTGTTTTCAAGAGGCTTCCAATTTGAATTTCCACCTATCCTGTCCAATGAACTTCTTAGGGCACCGTCAACTTGGAATTCCATTTATCCAAGCTGCTAAATGCAGATTTAAGATACTGATTGAAGAAGCTGATTTTGGCTTTGTGACAAATAATGGAAAGTTGAATTGAAATTTAACATCAGTAGCTAGATCTAGCACTTTGTTCACTTCTATAGTCACACGCACATTCACAGCCCTACTTGAAATTCTTCCCAAAGTTCAAAAATAAATTGATTGTTCTTTTGAAAGGATATTCTCATACATTTCAGTGATCTGGATCCACTACATGTGTATGGATTCTTTAGAATAATAGGATTTGATTCACGTGTTACTCAAAATGTTTCATAAGAATGAGAAGCAGCAAACAAATGAGTAGTATCACCTGGATGTCTAATTTGAAGCTGAACAAAGTATCTGAGTTTCTCCTAAAACTCTGTAATCTAATCTTTTAATGGGACACACCATTTAGGTAAATACCTGCAATGTTAAGAACTTTGTTTAGATTGTTAGAACTCTCAGGTAGGGTAGCTCTGTTCCATGCTTGACAGAGCTGTGACCTGACATTCTTTTTGCCAGGTCTCAGTGAAACCTCTTTGGAAACAATCCATCTATATCAAGCTTCAAAATGCAAGAGCAATATAATCTTTTTGGTGCTAGTCAAATGGACCTATATTACCTTTGGCTTCACTGAATTGCCAAGATTGTGAAGTAGAAAGTAAAAAAATCTGCTCACAGAAATATCAAAAAGAAAATAGTAAGCAAAAAGCCAAAACACTTGCTCGTTCCCTAAACAAGGAAGGGATGTAATTACTGACCTGAAAGCCCTCATGTGGCTGCAAATTTTCTTACTGAAGATGCTTTTAAATAAAATTAGCTATTTGGAGACTTCTCAAATTCATGGATGGCAAAACAATTTAGACTTTGAAATTCCAGGAAAACAATCTGGAATCCCTTGTTGCCATTGGCAAATGACATATCAGCCTATTTCTTTAATCCGTAATGTTTATGTGAAACTCAAAAATGTTGTGGGTAAATAATCTTTTCAGGGGGGTGGCATGTTTATTCCCTGTCATGAGTCAGTTCAGCTGGAATTGATCTGGTCAGTGCAATGCAATTTTTAAACACTGAACCATTGCAACTGCTGGCTGCAGACATATGTAGATGCTGCCTGAAAATCTTGAAAAACATTAGAAGAAAGTAATAAGCCAATTGCAGAACATTTCTGAGAGTAAGAGTATTTTTATTTCACTTGAGCAGTGACAAGGCAGAGTTCTAAACGACTTTTATTATCAACTAAAAGAAAAAAAAAGGAGACAAAAAAGGAAAGTGAGAGGAAAAACAGTGAAGTAGGAAAATCACTTGGAGCACTTTGCAGAAATGTATTTTTTTTATCTCTAGGAATTCAAAGAAAAAATCCAGAAGGTGTTTCTTGGAAGTCTATGTTTGAAAAATCTATTTGCAAAATGTTACACCAAGCAGTAAAGCTACTTTAGGTTGGCAACATTAATAGCAATTGCATGTTTCTTCTCACAGTGCCATGCAGAATTTAGCTCTGTGGATACTAAATGGAGTTTAAGAACCTCTGATATATCTCTTCCTTTTGTATAAAAGGAATCAAAAGCCAGAAAGGTAACTCTTACAACATATGTACAACCACTACTAAAATTTTACAGATTAATATAACTCAGGGCATAACAAAAGAAACCCAGTCAGCAATAGTTAATCTTAAATATGGGAGGCAAACATTGTCACAATATAATTTTGGGAGTAAAAAAATTGGTTTTAAACAATTATATGAATATAAGACATTACTCAGCACCAACAGTGTCAAATTTTAGAAATTCCTTTTATTTTCATAGATACTACATATATGTATGCACAAAGATTTGTGCTACAGTTTTCACTGAGTTGCTTTGAAGTAAAAGCATAAATCTATTCATTCAAGCCAAATAATTCCATGTAATTTTGTAAATATTGAAGAGAAATTTTTTTTATTATCTAAAACTTCCTTTATAATTCCCCTTCCTAAAACCCAGTCGAAAAGTACACATTTGTTACATCAAAATAGATATCAAACCAAAAGGGGTATACATAAGGAGACTACTATTTTGCCTTTTTTTTTTTTTTTTTTTAAGTAGAAAGATTGACTAGATATTAACACAAATGGGTTTAAATGTGAAGCTGCCATAAAAGCAGGCACATAAATGTAATTCTCCTAGCCGCTATTTTGATGCACATTTTTGATTCCATGAATATTTTATGAAATGGCCCAAACTAAAGCCATATAACATTCCTGCATTACTGATGCTTGCGCCCGTAAGCTACAAACATTAGAGGCATGATTGAGTGCATTAAAATGAACTCATTCAGCAGTGCATTGATTACTTGAAGGAGAAAAAAAAAAAAAGTTACTCCCACTTAAGAAAACAGCACACAAATTTGAAGTTTTCAATACTGAAATTAAAGATGCTAATTTGAATAATGTGATATTTAATAAATAAAGGCAACACAAAACTATCTAGAATTCTCCACATAGGGTCCTGACTTTAATTAGGTGAGATGTTAATTAGGTCCACAGATTGCTTCCAGTAGCATACAGGTAATTTAAAATGTCACAATCTGCAAAATACAGTGACTGACCTGCTCTAGCTCCATGCCTCAGCAATACTGAGAGCACCTAATGATTTCCTTTGCTATCAGCTCGTATATTTACCAATGAAAATACTGCCACAGAAACAAGTGCCCAAGAAAAGTGACAGGCCTGTTAGGTACACTGCTTCAGCAGCACTGCTGTAAGCAGAAAGCACATTTAATTCTAAATTGGAAACAGTTGTTGAGGACTTCAGGAAAATACTCCACTGCAGCTTAAAACAACAACCTAAAGGGACAATAAAGCTTTAAGCACATTGTAGCATGTTTTAATCTAGAACTAGAACATCTTTTGCTGTTGGTTATTTCACTGCACAATGTGAACACAAAATCTGGTTGAAGCAGCAGTCAACAGCAACAATAAACCGAAAAGATTATTATCATCTGAAAAAGTGTAAGCTTACATTTCAGTCTAACTGCTTGAGCTACTTGTATTAATCTGAGTTCCTATGTTCAATTGTGACAATTATGGTAGCACTATTCATGTTGAAATAT